GATTTTTGGGGAAAAAAAAAAATTTTTTTTTTTTTTTTTTTTTTTCTTAAAAAAAAAAAAAAAAAAAAAATCTGTAATTTGTTTGGGACATTCAAGTTTGTGTTTATTTCCCAGAGGTGAGTAGAGTACCCAAAAACTGTATTCATGTATGAATTGCACTACTTAAGCATGTTTTACTCAAGTAAAAGTTAAAACTAGCCATCTAAGAAATCACCCAAGTAAGAGTTAAGTATTTCCAAAAAAAAAAATAAAAAAAAACCCATTCGAGTATTTCGTAACCATTCAAATGATCTGATTTAATATTTTAAAACAATGTCATCAGACAGACAGAAAATGTAAAGTTGTACAAATTCTGGTGATTTAAAGACTTAGATGAAAAAGGTAATACAAATAGATAACCTGATTACAAATAACAGGAGAAATACATTACATATCGGATCAGATCATTATAAAACTTTTAGGTAGTAAAACAGAGATAATTAAATGCAGTGCAGTTTTTACAAACAAAAAATCTGTCATCAGTAGCTAACAAATGAACCAGCTGCAGTGTTTTCACTGTTCTTACCAATCCTTCTCATATCTGCCATGTTGTTGCTGTCAGAGTTTCAAACTTACCTGGTGGCAGAAACTAGTTTGAGCTTCTCTTTTTTAATGTTTTTCATAAGAAATATACTTTTTTTTAACGTGAGATCTTGTTACACTTAAATTCTCGACGTTTTACTTACTGTGATTTGTTTTAGTCTTAGTTTTTCACATTTCTACGTTCCTTTAACTTTGTTCTGTTTGTACTTTTTGGATTGAACAAATTAATCCCTGTATGTCTTAAGTAGCCTGAACAAATTAGAGATACATATGTATCTGATATTATTACATTTGTTGTGATTTCTGTCAATCAATCAATCAATCAATCAATCAATCAATCAATCAATCAATCAAATTTTATTTGTATAGCACATTTCAGCAGCAAGGCATTTTAAAGTGCTTTACATAATTAAAATAAAAACAGCATTGTGACATTGAATAAACAGTGAGAAAAAGAAAGAAACATTAAAACCTGCACCCCTTTTAGGACTTCAGTTAAATGTCATTTAACTGTCGTTTAATTTCTAGCTAGCATGCCCTCTTCTGCCTTCAATACATCCTCCAATATCTAACCCACCCTTAATGCTAATGCTAAGTTATTTTACCCAGCTCTAACAATCATTTCTACCTTGAATAACAATTATTATCAAACATATGCCCATTTAATAAGACTGGAACTCTTTCTTGAGTGCTATCAATTCAAGGACAATGTTTTACATTTTTTGCAGCTACAATAAATCTGCTATAAGTACAAAACATACAAAACATATTTAGTATTTTTTGTTTTCCTGCTTTGCTGCAGGAAAACATCAACTAAAAAGATGAAGCAGAATCTTTTAAAATAATCAGACAGTTTTCTCAGCTGGCCAGCAGATGGCACCATGCTCTCAATCTTTAAACGAGCTGTCGCTGCTTTCAGCCTTTTTCTCTTTCTCTCCTGGTGTTTATTTTTTACTTGCTTATCTTTTTGCATGTTACAGCTCAGTTCTACAATTTTTCCTCACATAAAGTACGAAAAAAAAAATTCTCCAAGACAATCTGGGGCTCTCTGTCCTCCAGTGAGTGTGTGTGTGTGTATTTCCCATAGAGGTGACATGGGAGGACCAGCAGCGAGGGCTGAATGGCTCTTTGTCTGACGGAGGGTCTCAGCCACACCCCTCCCTCACTGACGCAGGTTGGTGGGTTTGAGAGTGAATGCGTGCTGCTTTAAATGACATTATAAATTTTTGATTGTCAATGAATACAATGGTGTAAATAGTCCAGCCAAATCACGCTGAAAAGGATATAGTATCTCAGCAGAAGTTGAAGCAGGTTCATCAGTGTGTTGTTTATCAAAATAAAGAAATGATAAATCAGTAAACACACAGGAGCCTCTGCTAAAGGTTACTAGTGTTAGACGTTTTCTTTTGACACACTATTAAGGAAGACATCGCTGTTATAATTTTTAACTTTCAGATTTAGTAACTTTAAAAAAAACATAATTAAATATAAAGCATAAATCTTTATATTTAATATAAAGCATTCTAGCCTTCTAAAGTGCTGTTCTCTGCTGGAGAACAGGGCTTAGTGCATGTTATTACTGTTCATATACTCATAATATAAAACAATAGTGACAAACAAGTTTTACTGTTCTCTTACAGATTGAGGACTAGTGTGTGTGCGTGTGTGTGTGTTTTAGTATTTCTCACCTCACCTTGTAAAGCCAGTTTTTCCAACACATAGTATGTTATAAAGGTCAACTCCCCCTTATGGGGCCCACAGTGCAGGCCCCATAGGAAGAATTCCCTTTTTTCAGGTTCAGGTCAGGGTTGGGCTTTTGAAAAAAATGAAATATTAACGGATATCAATTCAATGTGTTTTCGTGTGTTTGTGCGCGTCTTTCCACAGTGTGAATAAAACCAACTAGTGGCTCCATTTCATAAGATTTATTTAAAGACATATTAGGCATAGTTTTTCTCTTTTGTTCCGGTTTTCCTATGCTGGATTTGTGTGGCATCCTCCTGTCTTGAGGTTCTGTGTATGGTGCATTGTACTTCCTAAGAATCCCATCTTCATTGACCTTTGAACTAAGTCTCTTTTTCTCTTTGCTAATATAATGTCTCCTCCAGATTCCATTGAATTTTGTTCTTTATGCTCATACTGTCTTTTAAATCGTAGAAACTGTCACATTTTCACCAGACAAAGCTGGAGAACGATGAATGACATCAAAGCTTCTAAAGCTAAAAGCTTTTTAATTAATATTCTTGCATAAATAGATACCATTTTGTACAATTTGACAGAGTGGAAAACAATGTTTGTACCGTTTTTAGTAGCTTGAACCCTAAAATGAAATCAAATAAATCATTTTCTTTAGCAATTTTTTTTCACGTTCAACAGAGACCCATGCTGTCAGCTCACAGAAAAAAAACATTTTGTGATTAAATCTACCGGCTGGCTGGTTGGCTTTATGTGAGGGACGTTCTGAATGTTGTTCTATCAGCTGAATATTGTCTGTTATATGTAGGAAACTGACTGTTGTGTTCCTAAGTGATATATAAGGAGTCAATCTTTTTACATGTCACATTATAGTTAATGAATATAATTTTGTTCATTATTTATCTGTAGCTGTGTCTTTTAGGCCTCTAATGAGCCATCATTTGATGGAGGTGTGCTAAACCAGGGAGAGAACTAAAGCATGCAGGATGCCGGCCCTTTAAGACCGACTTTGGGCACCCCTGGATTAGGGTAAGGGTAAGGGTAAGGTTTAGGCTGTAGAAATGAATGGAAGTCAATGCAAAGACCCCACAAAGATAGCCACGCAAACATGTGTGTTTTTTTCTTAAACAGACTCGTTTTTATCTCAGGTTTCTTGGTCAGCAACACAACATGGTTTTTGTTCTTGCTCTCATTCCACTCTTAATTTGATGATGCTGGTCGTCACAAAGAGATGAAAGCTAATGAGTCACCTGTCTCTGATTGCCTTTTTATTCATGCTCCACTTCGTTAAAAAGGCATTAATCGGGTGTTAAAGAATCAAAATGCTAATTTTGTTGGAAGGTGGTTTGAAAAATGAGTTGTGATGTGAGAGCTGCCTCAGATGAGGAATGAAGGTTGCGCAGTAAAGGGGTCAGAATGACTCTGAGGGGAAGCGGTCACACATGTGCAGTGGTGGTAGCTAATGTGCTAACGTCCTGCGTGCTAACAGGTTCCTGTTTTCAGAGTCCTGACTGCTGCTAGTGAACTGGAGGGTTTGGTTCAGTTTGTAGAGCTAAAAAGTCGGTTCTAGCAGGCTGCAAAGTTATTAATAACATAAAGGGGAAGAAAAATATGATTATGAATTCCGCATAAATATATCAGACAGAGTGAAATGCCTTGGAGCAGGAACTTACTGCTGTTGCGTAACATAATTTCTGAAACACACCGGTTGACTTCTGCATGCGTCTGCTTGTCAATGTGTTTACTTCTTAACACATACTCCTGCCTTCTACTTTGCTACAAGGTGACATTTTGCCAATTTCACCTTCTTTTCCTTTTTCTTTCTGGTGAGACACCAGCTGAAGGAGTTGGCTGTTTTTTCTTTTCGTGCGCTCGCTGCTCAGTGTCTTTAGTTCCTGCTGTGTTTTTTTTTTATTTTCTGTTACTTTTTCAGGCTGTTTCTGCCCACAAGAAGCGACATCCACTTCTTCCTTTACTCCTTCTCCTCTCTCTCTCTCTCTGTTTTTCTCTGTCCAGTTTTTGTCTGGTTTGATCCATTAACATCTCTTTCCTGTTTCAGCTCTTTTTCCTCCCCCAGATTTCCTTCCCCTCTTCAGTTTCTAATGACTAAACTCTCGGCCTCTGTCTTAGCCTCTCCCAGTCTTGCACCTTCTTGCTCTGTTTCGACTTCCCACAACGCCCATGGTGGAGTTTGTGTGTTGTTGGAGAATGTGATGATTTTTGTTTGTGTCCTCTGTGTTTGCTGTTTTGTCAATGTTGTGTTGTATTGTTGTTGTGTTGTGCCCTCCCCCTCCTCCACCACCAAATCCCATCTTCCTCCCTGACCCTCCTCCACTTCCCTCTCATTCTAACCCTTCAAACCTGACACATTCAATGATGGCATCACCCACCCCTCTACAAACACACACACACACACACACACACACACACACTGTCCTCCTCCAACTTGGCACCCCTCCCTTTTTTACCCTTTGTGCATCCTCTTACATCCATGTTCCTCTCCTCTGTCTGTGTCTGTCCATTTTGTGATGTAAACCCAGAAGACACGGACTCACCAAGTTGGACGAACTCAGGTCTGTCCCTTCTTCTTCTCCTGCTTCCTTTTCCTTTCCTGCCCGCCCACCCCCCCTCTCCTCCCCAGTCCGCCATCTGCCTCCCCTCATCCAAGCCGTCTACTCTGTCCGCGCTTTGCTTGACTCCATTCTCTTGCACTCTTTTAGTTGTCCTGTAGATGGCGCTTTCAGCTTCTGTCGTGTCTGTAACTTTATTTTCTGGGCTCAATGATAGCAAGAGTTTCTAGTGCTGTTTCATTGCAGCAGACACTAGCTGTGTTTCCATTACATATGTGCGCAAATCCTTGTCGATATTCTGCTGATGTCGAAAAAACACAATTTCAAAATTGCGATGTTTCCTTTAAATAAGAAATTAAATTAAAATCACATGTGAATAAGCTTGCTCAGGCGATGAGTTATTAGCAGTCATGTCAGCGACAGATTTGAACGGTTACATGAGATATATTTATAATTCATCCATCATTTATCAGCCATCAGAGGAGACGTCTGCATCTTATTCAGGCGTTGGAGCAACAAGCCCCGGCTACGTATGCAGCATTTTGGAGAAATTGTAGTGGCCGATTTTACGGAAGAGCTATAGATTCAACACAACTTTTTATGAGTTGTTGAGCTGTGAGAGCTCTGGTGGAGCCACATTGTCCAAACCCCCCTCCCACCCCCCCAAAGCCATCATCCTCCAACTACTTCCTGTCGTCTTCTTTGTCATCTTCTCCAGTAGTAACATCTGGCTGTTAACTCATGTGAAATTTGCAAAATACATCTATTTTGATATGGTTGAAAAACTGCCTTATACTAGCGTAAAAAACATTTTAGCAAAAAAAAAAAAAAAAAGATTTTTTTTTTTAATATTGGTGTGTTTTCATTAAGGTTATTTATTTCCGTCATTTCAGTTTATGCAGTTCTGGAGTTAATGGAAATGCAGCTATTGTTATAAGACCCTGTCCTACCCAGAAACAAAGTTGAGAAGCTCCTCCTTAGTTATTTGTAGATCTTTTTTTTATTTATTTATTCCAGGCATGTTTGTCAGATTAATTAGTAAGATGTTAAAATCTGGAGAAAATCTAGAAAGTTTGGGGAAATTATCTAAAAGCTTCCTGTTCTCTTTCACAATTAGGTGGTAGCTTGATGATGGCATTTAAAAACCTTTAAGCTGCTTCAATTTTTGTTGTTTGTTTTGACGTTGGTCTCAGATTTCTCATGTGAATCATTTGTTCACACATGAGAATCTTTTTACATCTTACAAAGAACTATGAATGCAAAGATAATCCGTCAGAAATACATTTCATCAGAAAACCAACATTGTAAAAGCAGTTTTAATGTTTAGCCAACATGACACAGTTTACTGTATCTAACATTACAATGGAATGCCGCGTATACAAAAGATATTCTCTAAAGAAAGATTTCCAAGTTTTTGTAAGGTTTTCATTTGACAAAAATTATTTTAGTTGATTCTGTCAAGTTGGAAAACACAAAACAGAACTCAAATAGTTTTATCTAGTCTTCACAGCATGAAGGCTAGAAAAAGAAACCAGAAAAAAAAATCTAAATCATAAATTATCTATACTGGATAGTAGGTTTGAGCTTAAAAATTGACAATATACAATGGGGTAGACACATGATCAATATGTAATACAAGCAATAGAAATTTCAATAAGTTCACTGAGCTCAGATTCAGCATTCTGAATATTTTTAGTTGCTTAACCTCTCTGAGCTAAACAAGATTTTTGTCATCTGCTAACTCACTCGCTCTGTGGTTACCTAGCAACCACTTGTTCATCAACTTAGTTGCTTAAAAATATGAAAATAGCGGCGTGGAGTGAAAGGAGAAAATGAGTACAACAGCTCAAGAGGAAACTGGATAAAACAGGAAAAGTCACATCGTCAGTTTGGTAGTATTTGGAATATTTAAAAGAAAACAAATAATAAACAATTATCAATACTGACTGATACGAAACCAATATATTGTAGTCAGATTGCTCAGCCCTACGTGGAACTCAAGTGACATCCATCGCTGTAAACTAGGGACAAAATTGTTTTAAGTTGAGTTCATTAGTGTATTCATGTTAAGTTCAGTTAGTGCAGCTAGCATCACTACAACAGCACTTCCTGTCTGTCCTGTAGGGAACGTAGATCCTCGCCTTCACATTAAAGAGTCCAGAAAACATGCAAACATTTTCTGATTTAACACACTCGTGCTGCGCTCCATTCAGCCTTCCTGTTACCTGCTGTACGTCCTATTCTCTTTCAGACAGTATCAGTCTGAAAATACAAAAGACGTGTTGAAACGTTTACACCCACATGTCCGTCCACGGTTCCATTTAGGTTCCAGTTTAGAGTGACCAATCATCCTTATGGCCGTCTGCTTTGATGTGGAAGATAGTCCCACACGCAAAGGTTGTGGGTCCAATTCCAGTCTGAACACACAATCCTTCTTGCTCCAAAGCAACAGTTCTAAACATATGAAAAACAGCTTTTTTTGGAGTAGGTTCTTCACACCTCTGTGCTAACTTTGATCCTTCTTCCCTCAATAACAACCTTGACATCAAGTGTTGTTAGTGCTAGGGTGTGGTGTGTTCACTGACCATAAAACTATTGTTTTTTGGGGGGGGGGTTGCTGTTGTTTTTATATCCAACCAGTCAGCTACAGTCATAATCATCATCTGGTTTTATTTCTCTACATCTATCAGCTGATAAAAGCTAAAAACCTGTCTTGTGGGTTGTGAAAAATGATAATAAGCACATCCTTCTAAACGTGACAGAGAATTAAATTAACAGAGAGATGAGTTCCCTTTTATTTAAACCTCAGTCTCAACGTATCTGTTCTGCTTTGTATCTTTCTGTCGGTGTGTCTGTGTCTGAATGTTCAGCCTCATTGCTCATGTGCATGGCACAGTGTGTGTGTGTTTGCATTCATTGGATCACGCCATCGGATGATGCAGCTGTAGAGACGAAGGCTGCAGTGGGTAGGTGGAGGTGTAGCTGCTGCAGAAAGAATGCATCTGTTTTCGATCCAGGAATATTTTGGGACTGAACAACTGATGATGATGTTCTAGTGGAAAGTTTTGTATTGACGTTTGGAGTTTGTGGGAGGTTTTTTTTTTCTGTGAACATATTCTGCTTAAAAGAGATTTGACCATAAAACCACAAGCAGCAGTATAAATAGGCACTTTGAAACAAACGTCAGTTTAAAGATATTTCTGGGATAAACTAAATGAGACGTTTTTTATGTGTTTGTTAATTTACTCCTGCCATATAGAGAGTTTTTTTTTTTTTTTTTCAAAATAGGAGCAAATATGCAAAATCTTGTGCAAATGGTTTAAGTTGGAGATTTGCAAATACACAGGAATTAACTAGCAATATTTTGTGAGATACTTTAGCATTTTAATATTTTAGTTTGAATATGCTGCAGCTCAGGTGGAACAGGTTGAATGTGTGTGTGAATCCAGTCAACCATTAAGCTTCTCTCCATTTTGACCCGTCTCATCATGGCTCACCAGAAGCTTGTCTCTCTCCACGGCAGAATGACCTTTCACCCGACCCCTCGCCCCTTCAGCGCAACTTCCTGTCTGACCAGGATGTGTCTCTGTGCACAGGTATGGACATGGAGGAGAAGACCAGGCAGATGAAACTGAAGTTGAACATGTACAAACAGGGAGCCAGCTCCGACTCCAGACTGGAACAAGACTACCACAAGGTACAGACACAGCCAGACGCTGGACTCCAGGAAACATGCTCTTTGTGTCTGCTTCTCATTCAGTCCAACGGCCACACAGTGGCGAGCAGTGGAAGCTGTCGAGCATGACGCTAACCCACTTAGCTACATTCAAACATGCTCATTGTTTGCTCCATGTCTTAATAGAACATTTTTGTTTTAGACACAAAAATCTTTTAGTTCCTGTTGATTTTTTTTCACATATCTTGAATAAGTTGAATAATAAATATTATTAACCCTTTGAACTTTCTAAAAATATTTTTTCACATTACAGCCACAAACTTCAAAGTATTTTATACAAATTTTCATTGATTAAACACAATATGATACTTTGCATGATCACACAAAGGAGTGCATAAATACATATACAGCTCTGTAAAAAAAATGAAGAGCCCACTGCACTGAACCCTTTTGAAAACAACCTGGTTATTCCACCAAATATTGACTTCTGAACTCTTCCTGAGTTAAAATGTTTGCATTTTTGTTTCTAAATGAATATGAATTTGTTTTCTTCGCATTATTTGAGGTCTGAAAGCACTGCATCTGTTTTGTTATTTTGACAATTTCTTATTTTCTGCAAATAAATACAAACATTTTTGCCTGAAATTTCGCAGAGATGTTGTCAGGAGTTCGTAGAATAAAAGAACAATGTTCATTTTACCTCTAAGAAGTAAAATCAGAGAAACTGATCATTTAAAGTGATCTCTTCATTTTTTCTTATGATGTCCATAGTTAACTCACAGTTATTGGCACATTTTTTTAGCAGGAGGGAAGGTAAAAAAATGTTTGGATCTACAAAGCTTGTTGAGACATATCTAAATAATATTCGTATGGGTAGGCCACACTTTTCAGGTTTTTATTTGTGAGTTTTTTTAAGTAATTCTTTTTCTTCCTTTGTGTTGTTCTGTCATATAAAATTAGTTGAATTTTCCGGTTGCAATATGGCAAATTGTAAAGACTTTCAAACATTATTATTAATTTCATATGGTACATGAACAGATTCTTCATTTGACTAACTTAGAGCAATGTGCTAAATACACACTCCTTCATCGCTCTGCGTGTGTTTGACTGAAAACAACAAAAACCCTTTGATGTTTAACACATCAGTTTGGAATCAGGGATGGAAAAATAAAAGTTTACACAACCAGAGCTTCCTCTTATCATTTTTGGGAACGCGACACCAGCTGTTTCCATAATCAGATGTTTGCCTTTCTGCTCTGGAAAAGGCTCTGAAGACTTTTAGAGAACTTGGCCTGCTGTCTCACTGCGGCCAAGACAAAGACTCTGGCTCTGCTCTCCTTTTAAGTCGGTGCTATGAAAACTACTGAACTGAGAGAAGCCACATGCTAACGCAAGTCTATAAAAAGCCAATTCGGGTGCAAGTCGTTCTTGTCTGTTGCGTATTTGCTTTCCTAGAGTTCCCATTGACAGAACAGCGTTCTGTCTGCTATTAAGCTGAACTCTATTGGGCAAGTGCTCTGAACAGAGCAGTTACTGTAACACTCAGCTCAGCCACCCTTACAGTAAACAGACCCTGAACAATATAAACACGGCTCGATTCAAACCGGCTGCGTGTCATTCCAGACCGGCTTCCAAGCAAGCCGTGGCGTAATCAAAGTATTCTCTATCAGTCAGTTAATGGCTGCTGGTTTTGATTTACTATTTTATTGGATAGAAAATAAACAGTAATACCATGAACCCTGCGTAAATGTCATTAGGAGGAATTGAACAAAAATAAATATTTCATGTAATCCAAAACATTCTGTCGCTCTAGGATACCTGAAATTGTTAATTTTTTTTTTTTTTTTTTTTTTTTTTGTCTCATTAGTTTAGATTCTGCTTATTCAGATTGTGGAAAAAGTCAAATCTGCACTTTTTCAAAAATCTGCCTCTGACTTAGTCTTTGAAAAGGTTTCTTCAACCTTGCTGCTGTCTATTTATAGCTCACACAGAACGCTGAGCTGAACGTCTGCATCTGGGAGCGAGAGGCGCAGTGCTTATGGTGCAGAGGTAGAAGTGTAAATAAGTATGTTCTAAACTTTCAAATTGCAAGGCTGCTACACTTTTCAGTGTTCTCCCTGGAGCACAAACTTTGTATTTTCTTTCTATTTCTAATGACAATAAAAACAAACAGGCTGCAGATTCACACAGTCAATTGATGACAAAAGGACAAAACAACACACTGAAATCAACCCGTAAATCAATAAATCATGAAATAAATACTCATGTATGCAATACTTTCAACAAAACAGAAAATATTATTTTTCCATTATTGTCCGTTGTTTTTTCTTTACTTTTTTTTTTTTTAGCAGTTTCCCTTTTCGAAATGCAAGAAAAAATAGAAATACTTTTGTGACTTTCTTCAAAGTTGGAAGTTTACAGTTGCTATATTTCAGGTGATGATGACGATGTTGTGGCTTCATGAGCTTGTGATGGGTCCATTCACATATGTTTGAGTTAAATGGAGGCACGTCTCACACATGCCGTACTTCTGCCGTGTGTGATCGACTGGATGGCAACGAAGAACTCAGTAAAAATCAGCCAGAATATCAAGGGACAGACATGCGTCAAGCCAGTTTCCACCTTCATACTCCAGAACAAAACCAAAAGATCTTGTGAAGACTCCGTGTGAAGAGAGCGAAGCTCATCATCTGTATTAGAATCGGCTCCTACTTGGTCAAGAGCCACTCAGAGAGGAAGAAGTCAGTACTCCAAAAGCCAGATTCCTGATTGTCAATGCTCTTCAGGACAAAGACCCTGAGCTTTGGGGAGATTCATGATGTGATGAAGCTAAAATGGAAACATGTGCATGCAATGATTATTTTTATGTTTGGGGAAAGAAAGAGGCGATAGCACCATCCCCATCCCAACAGCTAACAGCAGAGCTGTGTGTGTGTGTGTGTGTGTGTTTTTTTTTGGTGATTACATCGCGATCAAATGAACATTATGAAAAATATTGAAGTGACATTTCAATACGTAAAGCTTGGGCACAGATGTGAATAATTCACTGCTTTTATCAGGAGAGATGAACCAAACTACTGCAAGGAGTTTGTGGAAACTGAATAACTTGGGCAAAAATTCAACAAAACACAGAATAAATGTATGTAAACTTCTGATTTTGAAGAAAGTTTTTTAAAATTCTCTATAACTATTGAAACGTTTGGCAAAGAGAAACAGTTTTGGTGATTCTACCTGACCTGAAACATGAAACATTTAGTGATTCAGTTAGTATAAATGACTGGTTTACATTGCAAAGCAGATTTGTATTCATTGTACATGTTTACTTATTAAAGGTGTGCTGAATCGTACTGAGTTTATGTTATCTCTCAGCATTAGCAGTCAGTAGGGGGAGCTAACAGCTGTAGACAAGCTGATTGGTGTAGCTGACAACTTAAATGTTAAGTTTTGTTTGAGCTACGGTTTGAAATGACTCCATGATTGACTGTAAATATGAAATAACTAAATATTTACCTAAATGACTCTGTTTTAACATGTAACGGATTCATTGTTTGCGTGTTAAATCACTGGCACGTTCCAATCATAATTTTTCTTCTTCTTTTTGTTTGCTAATGCTAGTTTGCAAATATTCACCAAATGCCTTGCTTTAATGAAATACCTTCTATGATCTGTTGTCCTTTGTGTGCAGCGCTCAGGCAGAGACCCGCGGGGCTCCGACAACTTGTCAGCCAAGTCATCGGACAGCGATGTGAGCGACGTGTCCGCTGTGTCGAGAACCAGCAGCGCCTCTCGGTTCAGCAGCACCAGCTACATGTCTGTCCAATCAGAACGGCCGCAGGGAAACCGCAAGATCCGGTAAGTTCACGCCCACGTTAGCGAGACTACTGCCCTACTTTTATACCTTTGTAAAGTTATTAGTCAGGAATGAGAATGTTTTTTCATTTTTATTTTTTTTTTTTCTGTTGAACCTATTTGAACCCAAAAAGAGAAATTGATTCATTTATACAGCGTTTTTTCAAAGCTCTCTGTTTTTAGGACACAAAAACCAAACTTCTTAAACTTTGCTTAGTTATGCTGTGGCGCAGTCTGTGACCCAAAAGTGTTACGAAATGACACCAAATCTTTTGATCTTGTCTCAAGTCCGACTGAAACCAAATTCATTTGCATGGTGTTTTGTTCTAAGCTTGCTCTTTTGTTTTTCTTTTTTTTTTCTTCAATCATTTTTGCTTTCTTCACTGCACTGCATCTCTGGATCTCTGGTTGTCGTTATGTTGCTCATGCTATCTTTGATTTTTTTTCTGCTTTGCATGTGTTGCTGTTGTCTTCGCATCTGTCTCCGTTTTCAGCCCGTTGCAAGCGAGAAGGCATTCATGGGAAGTGGATGAGCAGTTAGGAGAAGTGCAGGAGGAAGATGAGGCTGGAGACAGGGGAAGGGAGGCTGGTAAAGCGGAGAGACGTCAGGGTGAGAGCACAGAGTCAGGCAGTAAGATAGACAGAGACCAGGAGCTTCAGGAGGATTTGATGGATAAAGAAGAGGACTTGCACCAAAGGAGTGCCTCAGACACTAACCTCAGGTAATACATGTGCAGTGGCCTAGTTAAAGGTAGCTACTAACTTCAGTAAGCACCTGCAACCCCTCTGGCCTACTAACGTCTCCATGTTCCTGTAACTGTACAGTGCTGCTCTCCACCCTCTATCAAGTGGAGCCTTTCCACTTGATAGAGAGAATGTGTGGCAAAGAAAAGAAGAAACAAATTACCTTCCTGAAATCGTTGTTTTAGCAAGAGTATAAGTTATATGGGGTGCATTCACACCAGTCCTGTTTAGTTCGCTTTAATCAGACTCCAGTTTGTTTGATTGGAAGGTCAGGCTGGTCTGGTCAGGTGTGAACGCACAATCAAACTCTGATGTGGACCTAAAAATCTAGGTCTCAGTTCGGTTGAAGCGAACTTCGGTGCGGTTCAAGCCGAGTGGACCGGAGACTGCTCCGAAAGCAGGAAGCTTTTACCCAGAATGCGCACTGCATTCTGGGTAAATATAACCAAAACAAGTCAGTTCTTTACCAGCTATGTTTTTTGGCACCTCTAGTATGAATGTGGTTATGCAAATAAATATCAACTAAATGGATTAATTGTTGCTGCAGCATGATCTCACAAAAAAACAACAATTTAAACATATTATAAGAATAATTGTTTGAAACAAACACTGAACTTCTCTCGTATTAGCTGTACACTGTGGTTAAATTGGAAATAATGGATTACTAATATGTTTCTTAATACTCAGACAATTAAATGTTAAATATACAATCAGTAAAGAATAAATCATACATTAAAAAAAATTTGTTTTCCTTGTAAAAAACAAACATTGTTTGTTTCTCCCCGCTGTGTAAATGTACTTAATGGTTGGATTTTTGTGTCTTTTCTTTAATTTTTTTTACCTGAGATTATGAACCTAAACACTGTTAACACATCTTTACTAGGAGTGCCAATAACTGTGTCCATCACAGTTATTGAGAGGACAATTTATTATCTAAGTGTCAGGTGATGAGTTTATGGAGAATGGAGAGCAGATGGTAACATAGCAACCAGAGATAGGATCTGTGTCACTGAAAACAATCACGGTAAATAACAGAAAAGACCCAGATAAAGAAAAAGCTAAATCTAGAAACAAAAAACACCTATGAGACAAAAACAGCAAAGCTACTGATCCTTTAATTACTTTAACTATGAAAAGCTTCTCAGCTCTTGTTCTTGACACTAGTTATTTTTTTTATAGTACCTCATATAGTTCACACTTGCTAGGCAACATGTCAACGGCCTCAAATTATAATTCTAATTTTTGGTGGAAAAACGTGACGGACTTATTGCACTTTCACCTGGAACACGTGCAGAACCGAACAAAGCTATCGCTTTCATTTCAAACTGGCGCATAGAGATTAGGTTGTAAGATGCTGAAATTAAATGTAAATTGGCACCGTTTTAGCGCAGCCACGAGAGAAAGAAACAGAGAGAGGCGATGTCTTCGGTGTGAACGCTTTCGGAATAGCAATTGTGAAAAGTATGTCAGGAGGAAACAGATTCCGAATCCCAGAGCAGGAGAAAAGCTTAGCTTGTGCCGCTAATAAGACGCTTCGCCATCAAATTAAATTCACAGCAGGATCCAGGTTACTGCCTCACTCTCCGATATTAGAGCTGCCCCCTTGGTAGGCAGAGAAATCACACTGGGATTAATGCCATGTGCGGTTAACGTTACAGCAGGGCGTACAGTCGCTTCCATGAGGAAAACTCATTCTTAGAGCAAACCTGAAAGCATCTGGAGATGTGTAGATTGTTTCTGGATGTTATTTATTTATTATTATTTTTTTTAGCACTTCAGCAGGAGGATTTAGTTTGCAGATTGAAGCAAAGAATATGAAGACTTGCAGACTTTGCTTTGCTGTTCGTGCTGCTCTGTGTTTCAATGTTGCATCCATGTGTTGTCTGTCAGGTCGCATTCATCACTTGATGTTTGTCTCTCTGCACCTTTTCAGCTCAGACTCACTTGACACGCCATGAATGGTTTATATTAAAATGTTGCAAGTTACCGAATGGATTCACTTTCAGAGAAGGAACTGGTTCTGATTTTGACCTGATGACTCGTCCCACTTTGTGGTCGGTTGTTATGTGACAGCTGCAGTGTGCCTACAGCGCCTGGCCAAAGTACTCCTTCCCGTTAGACCTTTTCACATTTTGTCACGTTGCAATTATTTTATGTCTCATAAACACAAAGCAGACCGTTAAAGTAAAAGGAAAAAAGGTCAATGGTTTTCTGACATGTATTTTTATATTCAGCCCTCCTCAGTCGATGCTGCAGATCTGCCTTTCACTGCTGCAAGCCGTTAAAAGTCTGTCTGAAATTATTCCAATTCCACTTCACAAAATAGCTGAGATTCAACCAGACTGGACTGAGTGTGAACTGCAATTTTCATGTCTTATGACTGACTCGCAATTAGATTTGTATCTGAACTTTGACTGGGCCAGNTTTTTTTTTTTTCTGTTGAACCTATTTGAACCCAAAAAGAGAAATTGATTCATTTATACAGCGTTTTTTCAAAGCTCTCTGTTTTTAGGACACAAAAACCAAACTTCTTAAACTTTGCTTAGTTATGCTGTGGCGCAGTCTGTGACCCAAAAGTGTTACGAAATGACACCAAATCTTTTGATCTTGTCTCAAGTCCGACTGAAACCAAATTCATTTGCATGGTGTTTTGTTCTAAGCTTGCTCTTTTGTTTTTCTTTTTTTTTTCTTCAATCATTTTTGCTTTCTTCACTGCACTGCATCTCTGGATCTCTGGTTGTCGTTATGTTGCTCATGCTATCTTTGATTTTTTTTCTGCTTTGCATGTGTTGCTGTTGTCTTCGCATCTGTCTCCGTTTTCAGCCCGTTGCAAGCGAGAAGGCATTCATGGGAAGTGGATGAGCAGTTAGGAGAAGTGCAGGAGGAAGATGAGGCTGGAGACAGGGGAAGGGAGGCTGGTAAAGCGGAGAGACGTCAGGGTGAGAGCACAGAGTCAGGCAGTAAGATAGACAGAGACCAGGAGCTTCAGGAGGATTTGATGGATAAAGAAGAGGACTTGCACCAAAGGAGTGCCTCAGACACTAACCTCAGGTAATACATGTGCAGTGGCCTAGTTAAAGGTAGCTACTAACTTCAGTAAGCACCTGCAACCCCTCTGGCCTACTAACGTCTCCATGTTCCTGTAACTGTACAGTGCTGCTCTCCACCCTCTATCAAGTGGAGCCTTTCCACTTGATAGAGAGAATGTGTGGCAAAGAAAAGAAGAAACAAATTACCTTCCTGAAATCGTTGTTTTAGCAAGAGTATAAGTTATATGGGGTGCATTCACACCAGTCCTGTTTAGTTCGCTTTAATCAGACTCCAGTTTGTTTGATTGGAAGGTCAGGCTGGTCTGGTCAGGTGTGAACGCACAATCAAACTCTGATGTGGACCTAAAAATCTAGGTCTCAGTTCGGTTGAAGCGAACTTCGGTGCGGTTCAAGCCGAGTGGACCGGAGACTGCTCCGAAAGCAGGAAGCTTTTACCCAGAATGCGCACTGCATTCTGGGTAAATATAACCAAAACAAGTCAGTTCTTTACCAGCTATGTTTTTTGGCACCTCTAGTATGAATGTGGTTATGCAAATAAATATCAACTAAATGGATTAATTGTTGCTGCAGCATGATCTCACAAAAAAACAACAATTTAAACATATTATAAGAATAATTGTTTGAAACAAACACTGAACTTCTCTCGTATTAGCTGTACACTGTGGTTAAATTGGAAATAATGGATTACTAATATGTTTCTTAATACTCAGACAATTAAATGTTAAATATACAATCAGTAAAGAATAAATCATACATTAAAAAAAATTTGTTTTCCTTGTAAAAAACAAACATTGTTTGTTTCTCCCCGCTGTGTAAATGTACTTAATGGTTGGATTTTTGTGTCTTTTCTTTAATTTTTTTTACCTGAGATTATGAACCTAAACACTGTTAACACATCTTTACTAGGAGTGCCAATAACTGTGTCCATCACAGTTATTGAGAGGACAATTTATTATCTAAGTGTCAGGTGATGAGTTTATGGAGAATGGAGAGCAGATGGTAACATAGCAACCAGAGATAGGATCTGTGTCACTGAAAACAATCACGGTAAATAACAGAAAAGACCCAGATAAAGAAAAAGCTAAATCTAGAAACAAAAAACACCTATGAGACAAAAACAGCAAAGCTACTGATCCTTTAATTACTTTAACTATGAAAAGCTTCTCAGCTCTTGTTCTTGACACTAGTTATTTTTTTTATAGTACCTCA